TATTCTTTTGCATTGGGGACTTACTGCGCATGTCCAAAACCTTACAATGACTTGTCTGTGGGAGTCTGGAGCGGCAAACAGCTTGTGACCTGGAAGTGACTCAACACGAAAAAGCTCATGAGTAAAATGGAAGTTTACACATCAATAACTCTAAATTATTTATTTTACTTATCTGAAAACATATATACAATATTTTGTCGAAACATTTGTAACTTTTTATTTTGTTATGTTAATTTTTTTAAATAAATTGTGTACCANAGCTGGACTCTCTGGCTGACAAAAACTTTGCCTCTACCTGTTGAAGGCTTCACCGTCACAGAGGCAGGTAGGGAGGGTGGTCAGCATGACTCCCCAGGGTTTTTGTTTCAGCATCGCAGAGAATCTGCCGTTTAGTCAAGAGACAAACTTCAGCTCGGCAGTCCAGCCCTTTTCAGGAAAAAAATTCAAAATTGGAATTAAGGCTGATGTTGCCTTAGCCCCAGACAGGAGACTTTTTCTCATTAGCTCTTGAGAAAAAGAATCCAGTTAAGCTGAACTAGACGAAAAACTTGTATTACAAAAGTCTTTTAGCTTTTCTCTTACCTGTTTTAATCCATGCTGTATCAGATCCTGATGCTTGAGAAATGTTGGTTACGTACTGTAACTCACTGGTTGTGTGAAGTCAGCTGCGGGGCGGCCACATGCTGCGCCCCAGGCCACCTTATTCTTTTGCATTGGGGACTTACTGCGCATGTCCAAAACCTTACAATGACTTGTCTGTGGGAGTCTGGAGCGGCAAACAGCTTGTGACCTGGAAGTGACTCAACACGAAAAAGCTCATGAGTAAAATGGAAGTTTACACATCAATAACTCTAAATTATTTATTTTACTTATCTGAAAACATATATACAATATTTTGTCGAAACATTTGTAACTTTTTATTTTGTTATGTTAATTTTTTTAAATAAATTGTGTACCAAAAATAGTGGCGAGACGGCACCCTAGCCTCCCCTATTGACCAGCCGCCACTGTTCAGCACAGGCTCCTCACAGGGCTGTGTGCTGATCCCCCTGCTCTATATCTTCTACACCTATGACTGTACTGCCATAACAACACCACCATCAAGTTGACACCACATCACAGTGATGGGGCTCATCTCTGGGGGAGACAAGTCTGTCTACAGTGATGAGGTGGAGCGGTTGACGGTAGGGTGTAGAGACAACCTGTGTCTGAACACAGCCAAAACTAAGGAAKTGGTTGTTGACTTTAGGAGGAAACAGACCYACATCCAYCCGATACCTATCAATGGGGTCTGTATYGAGAAAATTTCGGACTTTTACCTCCTGGGGGTGCACCAGTGAGAGGAGCTGACCTGGGCTGTTAATACCAAGAAACTGCTGAGGAAGACACAGCAGAGACTATTTCCTGAGGGTCTTTAAGAAGAACAACATCACCCAGAGACTGCTGGTGACCATCACTGCTCCATTGAAAGTATCTTGAGTTACTGTCTGTGCGAGTGATTCTCTAGCTGCACAGTGGTTCAGAGGAAAGCACTCCAGAGGGTCATAAAGGTGGCTCAGGACATTMCTGGGTGCCCTCTGCCCTCTGTGGAGGAATTACACAGGTCCTGTTGCCTCCAGAGAGCACGACACATACACAGAGACTCATCACACCCCAGGAACAGTTTGCTCATCCAACTACCATCAGGTAGAAGGTTCAAGACTGTTGGGACCAGAACGAAATACAACCATTCTATTAAAAACCTATCTGTTAAAAAARGAGAACTGTCTGAACCAGATAGGAAATATGATTTAATGTTCTATTTTTATCTATACCCGCTTCTTCRMTCCAGGGTCACTGGTGCCCWTATCCAGCAGTCAAAATGRGAGCAGTGGGGTACAACCTGGACAGGTCGCAAGTCCATCACAGGGACACATAGAGACAAACAACCATTTACTCTCTCACTCACACCCAGGGACAATTTAGAGTTACCAGTTAACCTAACAGTCATGTTTTTGTGTGTGGGAAGAAGGAAGGAGTGCCCYGAMAAAACCCACGYATGCACAGAGAGAACAAACTCCTCCCAGAAAGGTTCAAGGCTGGYATTTTATCCGGCGACCTTCTTGCTGAGAGGTAACAGCCCTAACTGAACCACCATGCCGCATCATCAGAACATTAAATCKTATTTTCTTATGTTCTTTTCCAGCTGACGGGCACTGCAGCTTTAATTTTAGATCTCGTTTTCTTACATATGYGTGGTAAAACAGTAAAGTTTTTCGGTCAGCATAATTACGTTTTTATGTGTGCAACATAAATTAAACTTTTTTAGGTTACATATATGTATGTATAAAACAGTTGTGTGTAGTTGTGACTACAGTGATGTGGGTGGTAATGGAGTTCTTAATCTGAAAAAAAAAAATCAGTTTGCTTCAGCTATTCTTTAGTTTTTAAAGTTTATTGTTCTTTAGCTGAGACACCTGATCCAGCTGCATTCAAGTGGGTAAAYAAAACAGTTTTCAGTGGATTTAGATGTTTTTAAAGAGGAAATAATAAAGATATAAACATCCCAAAGAAAAATATTGGGAACAAAGATGCTTTTTGTTCTGCGGTTAGGGTTCATGGTGACAAGATGGAGACAGTGACTTCTGTTTTTTTTAAGATACTCAACTCTCTGCAGTCCAGACAAGTTGCAAACWTTACAATTATGGCCTGTCACACATCTTAGGTTCAGTTTATACAACATTGTTTTTAAGTTAAATCAGAAGAATGGTGTTCTGTTTRAATTGTTCAAATGTGTTTCACCCAACAGCCATATTCTCTGACACTGAAATACTGGAGTAGAAGTTTTTCAAAACTCCTGGCATGACTTCACGGGAAAATGCAATTTACCTGAAAATGGAAGTGTTTGCACACCAGTTACTGTCAGACAAGATAATCTACATTTTCCTGAAACTTTTTAATGTGCTCAATGTTTTTTGAGGTCTTGTCTAAACAMCAGTTGTGATCACAGCATTACATGTGAAATTGTAACGTTTTTACAATAGATATAGGAAAATCTTTAATGTATTCAGGAGATTGTTCACGTATAAATTGGGCCTTAAACACCCTGCTCCATCTCCCTCCATCTCCCCTCCTGGGAATGGAACATCAGAAAATGTGCCAAAAGCTACAGAATAAATAACAAAAATGGGGTGGAGTGGAGGATGGGTGGGGGTCTCTTCAAATAAATGCTAATTCTGCAAAGGCCCCCACCCCCCAACACCACCAACACCACATCCCTGCACCAGCAACTTTGTTCACATATTGATGTGTTCTGCAATCAACTTCAATGGCATGAACCATCTTGTGGGAAGAGCGAGGATGATGAAGCCAGGGAAATGCTGGGAGAAAAAGTCAGAAAAAGGCAAACTAAATGGGAGTCCCAGATTATTTCTTCACCCAAGACCAACCACTGCTTTCATTAGCCCCTCCATTAATTAGCCTCCTTGAGCTCATTTGCAAGTCAATGGCTGTGGCTGTAGGACCAGAGGCTGTGAGTCGCAGCGCCCTGTGATCTCTTGGTCCTCCAGTCCCTCCACCCCTCACACACTAGATGCAAGCCTTCCTGACAATTAGTACAAAAGAGATTCATGCTCCATATAGGCAATACATTATTCATATTTTCTCCTCACTTAAATAAATCATAATGTTCTTGAGGGTTTTACTTACACAACATGCTTTCTCTTCCTGCTAGAGCCCACTCCCTTGCTAACATTCAAATAAAATTGGTTTGCAATGACCTTGCCCCCTTTTTGGGTCACTTCTTCAATAGTACAAGATAAGCAAGACCCCAAAATGTAGGCTCCATCCACACAAGAACCGCATTTTGTGCACATGCAAAGGTTTGTTTTATGTTACTTGTTTCAACATTTAGGAGGCCAAAAATTCAGATTCCACAGTACAAAAATCTTGAAACTACGTATGTTGTTTTATGATGGCATAAACAAAATTTTTCAAAGACAATGATGTCATAGACACACCACTAACCCAATTTATGACCTTGAGCATGTCAGAAATATCAGCAATAACGAAACATGCTTTTGCTTATGCTTTAGATACCAGTTGTTAAACCACAGCAAAGTTTGAAGTATTGTTCCTTCAGTGAACAGATAAAGCTAACAAACAATAACATTGATTTAAATTAAGGAAATAAAATCCCCTTGATTTTACTTAAAACAATCTCATAAAGCCAAAACAAGTTTGTCACTTTTTTGAATTACAAACAATGTAAAAAAATTGTTGCAAAAAACCCCTCTAAAACAGGGGTGCCCATACATTTTTCCCAAGATGGCCAAAAATGAAAATCTATTTAGGGCTGCGGGCCAAATCCAGTAATATAATACATAAAATACAAATACTTTTTAAGGAAAGTCTTTTATTTTTAATGATTAACAGTGGCCCACCTTTGTTTTCGTCTGTGCACTTGGAGAAAGTCTACCTAATTCTCAAGTAGCAAAGGCTCATGGAACATTTTATAAAATGATAAAATATGAGTTTTTGTGGCCTTATTAAATGTGCAAATCTACATGTGTGGTTACATCTAATCTAAATATCTCTTGTTACATGTTTTATGTTTAATGCAATMATAGTAAAAATAAAGTCAGCACCATGAGTCAAAACCAGAGTGTCTCAGTAACAAGGAGAGGAGCTGTGAGATAAGGAGACTCTGAATCGACGACACYATGCAGCAGCACTGCGGAGGAAAATCACAACCACTCACATTTTGGAGCCAAGGTGAACAAAAAACTCCCAACAGAACTCAACCAGCAGTTTCATTTCATCAGCGGGTAGGTCAACGTTCTAGAGTTTTTCTGTGTCGCTTCCAGCAAGGAGAGCGGCTAACTACAGCCAGCAGCTGCTACCGCAGTCCGCTAAAACTATCTGCACTACAGCCCCTTATATAGTCATTGGGACTATCACTTTTTGAAGAATATGTCAATGAATGAGCAACCAGGAAGGAATGAGACTCAGGAGGCTCAAGGTAAAATTTAAATGAATATTTATTTACAGGAGGTGTAATCTTGGTCCAGGTAACTCTGTGGGTGGAAAGGATGAGTTGTTAGTTTGGTTTCCAGTATTGACTGAGAGTTGATGTGTCTGTTTGTTTGCTTGCTTACAGATGCGAGGAGGTCCCCAAGCATGGAGGAGAGGCGAGAATCCAAGAGTGCACAAGGTTCCAGGTGAGTATTTACAGGTGAGTGTTTTTGATTTTCCGTGGTGGAGCAGAAGATAGGTAGGTAGGCAGACAGACAGTGCAGCAGGTGAGCAAGGTGGGCAGACGTYGGGACAGGAGGATCCACGAGGGGTCTTAACCCACAAGCGGTCCAAGCTGGAGAGAAATTCACAAGGGAAAAAACTCGAGGTTAGATAAATCTCTAGAAGAGTGTCAGACTACATTCACTGCAGGCAAATCCGACCCAAATCCGATTTTTTGACCCATCTCACCCATATCTGATTTTTTTATGACAGTCTGAARGCGACAAATTCGATTTTTTTCAAATCCGACCCAGTATGTGGTTTTAAATCGGATATATATCTGATGTTTTCAAAGTGACTGCAGTGTGAACGSTCATGTCACATTCATCTGACTTTTTCATCAGGAGGAGGGGCTGAAGGACCGATAAGACACTAACCTCAAGTCWCGCTGTTTAAATCTGRAGCTCCGTGTGTTTACAGCTCCAAAACATAAGTCCAGTTGCTTCGTCTTTTTACTTTTCATTTTCCATGTATGATAATAACGATGTCAAAAGCCTGGGTCGCGGAGAGTATCGATCCTAAAGTTAGCTACTCGATCGATACATTTATCCAGCTCGTAGTTTCGTAAAAAAAAAAGCTTCACCAGAGCATCCCGGTCAGAGGCAGTTTCAGATATAAACACTGAACTAAAGAAGCATGTCAGATAATTATTTAATCGGGTCTGATTAAACAACAACTTCTGATTTGATGTGCAAAATGTAGCATCCATGCTATTTCTGTAAACAAACAAGCCGGCTGATGAGACGTCACGTCTTTTAATGCGCATGCGTGTCACATCAGTGCTGTGTAGCGTTCACACACTAGTCTGATGCAGGTCACATTTAAAATGTAATGTGAACATTCACACAAAAAGATCAGATTTTTTCAAAAAATCGGAACTGAGCATTAAGACCTGCAGTGTGAACGTAGCCTTAGWCAAGGCTGAGAACCATACCAAGTGTGTGCTATGTTCCAGCGAGGATCTGATCTCACGGCCAGCCTTATAAAGCCCAGTAACTCATCAGGGAGATCTTCTGCAGCTGCTGCCCATRACTGCCATGATCAATCAGGATGTGGGAGGTAGAACTCCCACAGGGCCAATGGATGAAATGACATGAGAAGACAAGTGGAAATACTGTGTTATACATAGGACAATAGCGGAGGCGGAACCAGGGGGTGYCCATGGCCACCACAGACAAAGTTTTGGCCACCCCATTGGCCACCCTGCTGTATACACCCCTTCCACAGTGAAACAACCTTTAGGGATGTAATAATCCTCCTGAAAAGTTGGTGGCAGTGTTTAACAGTTTGAAACATCACCAAGCTCAAAGAAGTGACAAAGAAGTGATTGTTTGCTTTATATACAGAACATATGCCTATGTAATCTGACTTATGGTGACAAATGTTTGTTTGTTAGCTTTTTTGTCACCATAACACGGTGTCATTTTATGTTCTGAAGGCTGCATGGTGCTCTGCCACTTTTGATTGAGTAGACCGATCACTAAATCAGAAAAAGTGAAATGCCCCTTTAAATTCACTGTTGGTGATTAGCAATATTCACCTGTTCATTGGGTAAAGTTATTAATATTAGTTTTAAACATGCAGMTGAGGGTCATCATTATTTAGCACAATGATGTGTTACAATTAAAAATAAATCAATAAGCAATATCAAAGTAAAAAGCACCCTATAGTCATTAGATATGATAAATTGTGTCACATTAATWAACCTTATCTCAGCTGTAGCAYTGAGTTGAAAAACAAGAAAATGAAACTAGAATGWAACAGGTTACAACCTAGTAACTARGTTATCTGCTGTTGGGCCAATTCAAATGGCTTGGTGGGCCAAATTTGGCCCACGAGCCCCRCTTTTGGCTCATTTTCTCTAAAGTATTCATCAAATATACATAAAACATGGGAAATTAGAAACTTTTTAAAAGATTTGAACTGACGTGACTCCCAGACTAAACAAAGTAGAAGTTTCACTTAGTCTTCAGTCCACCAAAAAGATTCAGTTTTTGTTCTTGTACTTTGTGGGTTATTTTGTTTGTTTTACTTGGTGTGTGTTTATAGTTTAGAGGGTCAGCTTCTTTAATCTTCCTAGTGTATTGTTGTGGTAYTGTACAACACCACATCCAGGCCTGGAACAGTAACTGCCACARGTGGGTTAATTTCTGTGTTTCTGTGGGGCCTATTAATTATTTAATTGACAATTTCATTATTTGTAAAATTGTATTCATTACTATTGTTGTAAAATAAGCCTATAGATGATAAATGAGGTATTATTTATTGTGATTTTTGTTCAGCCTACTGTGCTTAAGGAGAAAATATCAGCTGAGTTYGTTTGGTCTGTTTTGTGTGGAAAGAGTGAGGAGTTAAACAGTTTTTTTCTACAACTTAATAACTTTTTTACTTGGATAGTTAATCTGAGAATATTTCAGTTTTTTTTGGATGTAAATTTAAATCGTTTTGTGGAACAGGAAAACCTCAGAGCTTTTTTTGTTTCCTCAAAGTCAGCGTGATGTCATCCATCATGTGATTTCAACCTTATTTTTTTTTTTTGTGGGGGAAAACAGTGCTGTTCAGACATCAGTTTTTAGCTAGTAATGTGAAATATTTTGTGTGTATCCCACATATATATTCATATATTTAAGAATGTTGTATGGATATGAGGAGACCTTACAACCTGATGCACGACAGTGGTATAAGTATATCATGATCAATTCACATCGGTTTTCAATCACTCTAGCCAGAAAGACACAGCCTCTTTMTGGAAAGAGTGAGGAGTGAAACAGTTTTTTTTTTTTTTACCACCAAATAATGTTTTATATTTGGATTTTGATGGAAGTTGATCTGTTTTTTGGAAGTAAAATAAAATTGTTTTGTTGGAAGAGGAAAATCTCTGAGTGCTTTTWAAAAAAATTAATGCATCAAGATCCTCCTCCTCAGGAACAACTCTGARATTTTTTGAGTTGATTTGAATGTAAGATCAGCCAAAAACAGCAAAAACATTAATAGAAATGAAGAAGTGATATGTTTACAGGAAAAAAAATGTTTTGGAAAGATAGTGGTTTARGTGGATGAAATCTTTATGTCCAACCCAGTTTTGGGAATGATTAACATGAATGAAAAGAGGGTAGTTTTCCTTCTCGTTTCTCTGACGACAGATCAATTCCTACAAAAGTAATGTCTAAGAGTTTAACTGATTTATAGACAAAAAAATGTTTTGCTTTTAAGACAGCATTGGTGCTTTTACCTAATCATCCCTTTTATTCATTTTTTTACCCACAGATAAGAGTTGGAAGTCCTCCTGAGTTCTGAGTACTCCTTATGAGAGAAACCTAGGCTCTATCTGGAGGATCGTGAGACTCAATGCCTCTTATGTCCTCTTCATTGATCTGATCTGTTCGTGCCGTTGTGCTGAACCAGTGCTGTCTGGACAGAGCAGAGCAGCTGTCTCAATGATTTAGCAGCCCTTTGTACTATTATTCATCTGACTGGAGGGAGTCAGTGTCCAGCTGAGGGCTTGCATCTTTTATGACCACTTGCAGTCCATTCAGACAAAGGTACTTCCATGGAATACTTTTGGGACCCACAGCACATCTATATTGATGTATATGGCTGCATATTGATTTCTAACATCTTTATTTCATTGTCAAAGAAGAAGTCTTGGTCTGGTTGGAGATGATTTCTTCAGCTACTCCTTAAGTACAATGATAAAGGCCCACTTTCTTATTTTTGGCATATTAGTCATAAAATCTTTAAAATACCAGTTTTGCACATTTGAAGTCATAATTTAAATCATCTGGGTAAAATTGGATGGATCTGTTCTTTAAATCAATTTAGTAAAGGATAAGTACCTATAGGTTTGGGTCAATTAAAACAAGAAAATGTTTTGTTGTGGCCAACCTTTTGTGTTTTCAGATGTGGATGGTGGTGGTGGTTGTGGTGGTGGGGTGTCCCATCCAACCATGCCCCTCCAGGTCTCACTGTCATTGCCCACTTGAGCGTTGAAGTCCCCCAGCAGAACAAGGGAGTCCCCATGAGGAGCGCTCTCCAGCACCCCGCTCCCAAAGGACTCCAAAAAGGGTGGGTAATCTGAACTGCTTTAGGTGCATAATCACAAACAACAGTCAGGACCCGCCCCCCAACATGTAGGTGGAGAGAGGCTACCCTCTCGTTCACCGGGTAAACCCCAACAGGCACCAAGGTGAGGGGCAATAAATATGCCCACTCCTGCTCAGCGCCTCTCAGCATGGGCAATTCCAGAGTGAATGAGTGTCCAACCCCTCTCGAGGAGACTGGTTCCAGAGCCAGAGTGGTGCYTTGAGGTGAGTCCAACTATATCTAGTCGGAACCTCTCAACCTCACACACCAGCTCAGGCTCCTTCCCCACCAGAGAGGTGGCATTCCACATCCCTAGAGCCAGCTTGGGCTGATCTTTGTCTGATCCCTCACATAGGACCTGTTTGTCTTGGGTGAACACTGGGGGCATGAACCTCCTGACAACATAGCTCCTAGGATTATTGGGACACTCAAACCTCTCCACCATGATAAGATGGCAGCCCAATTTAAAGCTTAGCATGTTATACTTTCTTGTGGAAATAAAAATAAAACAATCATAAGTGTAAATATCACAGCAGATTGTGTTTCACGGAAAATGAAAGTTGATCTCTTTAAGTAACTTTACTTATACCTACGTTTATGCCCGAATAGCTAGATTTTTTTATTTCCAAGTAAAATAATTGGAAACGCCTGTTTGATTTTCTAGCTGTGGCATATTTAATGAAACTTACATTTTGTAAAACTCTAGTAAAATATTCACAATTTACTTCAATTCTCATTTTCCAAGCATTTTATAATTATTTTTACACAACACTAACTATTCCTACAAGAGGTTTAGGACCAGAGCCGGTGGTTCTAATAGCCTATATGTCACGGTCATTAATGACGTATTGCCAGTAAAATTCTTGCCACACTCCTCCCTTCCACTCCCTGCTTACTGCCTATG